TCAACGAGAGAGAGAGAGAGAGAGAGAGAGAGAGAGAGAGAGAGAGAGAGAGAGTTCTCATAGGACTCTTGTCAGATCTTTAGCTAGGACAGGACTTGTAATATAATAAAGTCGACAATTATAGTGCAGTCAAAAATTTGTGGTGCAACTTATCCTCAAATATGTCTTTAACTGGTTAATCAATGCCACCCGTACTTTGCACAGCAATTAGTATCAATTTGTTTTAACTAAATCATTTTTTCCAGAAGAATTGGGACTAGATTATAAAACTTTTCTTCTTAAATGTATATAAAATACTTGAAATCTCTGTCACACATAAAATAGTATTGTTCACAGCACTTCCCGCTTCTCTCACACATTTTTATTGCGCTTATGGCCTACGTCACAGCTCATCAATGATCATTTCTACTTGCAAAACTTGTTACAAGAAAGTATTTTTATAGTGAACACATTTTTTGCTCTAATGGCTCTCGAAGCATGCATTTCATAAGCATAATGTCCCGATTAGGAAAACATGACGGACTTGCTATTAAAAGCAATATTATTGCCCCAGCTGTAAACATTTAAAAATCTGTAGAAACCACCCGCTTGGATTTTTAAAAAAGTATTTATTAGGGAGTTACCTAGAATACAGCCTGCAGGTGTTTACAAAAATGTAGATCTGTTAAGACAAATTGATATGTCACTGTGCAAAAAAATGGAGAATTTATTTTGAGGAGATATTTGAAAATAATGACAATAAGTCGCGCCACGAATTGTTTACCGCACTATTGAAAGGAATGCAAGTACATGTACTTCTTTTTGTGCCTCACTTGAAGCGCTGGAACACATTGCGTCAAAATCTGCTTTCTTTATGGGCGGTGAATGGAGAAAAAGGTCATGTCGTGTCCGATCCTTCAGTACGACCTGAGGGGAAATATGAGGGAGGGGAAAGAGACTGATTCGAACCACGATAGGATATCCGTGAAGGTGGTTAGCTTGATGCGCCTTCGGTGGGTGGTTGGCGGATGCTCTGGTGTACTGCTCCTTCTTTCCTATCAAACATCTGTCGTCCTGATGTCTCCTCTTTCTTTTTTTATGTTTGTTCCTCTCTTGTAACACCTCTAATCTTCGGCACTTACTTAACCTTATTGTGTTGCACTTGCCGTAAAACTCTTTCTAAAACTAAAACTGATGTGCCTTCATTTGGATCGGTCGTGTACGACAGGGATGTTAAATCGAAAGCTCTGTTTCTTGTATAACCACCATGATGTCGTGGAAGTTGAATGTCAGTCTAGGAACGACTCAGGGTTTTTTAAAGATAAAGCATTAAGTTAACAGCAGGCAGTCGACGCCAGTGTCGTGCTGTGCGATAGAAACAGAAAACGATAAGATTGATTGACAGGCAAAAGAATTTTACATTCATAGCTAGCTAGCTGTCAGGCCTTAAGTAGTTTGTGAGCTGAAATATATTATGACTTCACAAAGTAATGTAGTCGATAGAATGGTGAAGGCTTGTAGTTTAAGGGCTTGCAAACATTTTATTCAGTTTTAGATTCTAAAAAAAAAGCATCTTTGTTTCCACAAGTTACTTTTCTTTTGGTTCATTTACAAAATGTTCCCGAAGAAAGGCGGGAAATTTATCGCTCCGACAAACTAGCAAAAACGCAGAAGCGAGACCAGAGAGATATTTGGAAAATTAGATTTACTCTTGAATGTAATGCGCATTGAGCATTCTTTAGAAAATGGAAATGTACAGCATAGTATTGATGCTATCTACTTTTATGATTATTACTTAAAACTGTGAATATTCTTTTTTTAACAGGGCTTGAATTAGGAAAAACACCTAGTCCATTTTTAGTGATACATACCTGTCTTTATAAGTGTGAATCATTTTAAGCGATTCCTCAGACCAGCAAAACAAAAGATGACCAAAAACTTCAAACACATAAAGGACGGACGCCCACTGAGCGGGACGTGGGCCGGGAGATTTGGGGTGAAAAAAAAAGGTGTGTGGGGGGGGGGGGGGCGTGAATCATACAAAATATATCTGTTTATTATATCCAGCCAAGTTTAATGGGTAGGCCTGTGACGTAGAGTGATACGACCTTTCGTAGCCTTTGCTTTGACCACTGTCGTCGGTCCCCTTCTTGAAAGTGGAGAGTCTGAAATGTACGGAAATGAGGGAAATAGATTAGAATTGAGGTACTTTTATATTCTACCAATAAAAAAAGCAATAAAGACTGGAAATGCCTCATAGGATATTGACCTAACGTTAAGGAACACGAAGAAATGCCTCACCTTTATAGCTTACATATTTCCATCTGGTTTCTACAACTGATACTGACTAGAATTACTCTTCTATGTTCAGAGATTTAAATGTACCTCTGTTCTCACTGAACTGTTCAGACGTCTGCTTTCTTTCGTTGTTGTTTTTCTCTCAAGAAAACCTGTCAAATTCCTTTTTCTCTCCCCCCTTTCCAATGCTTCAATAAAACAGGATTGTTTATTTTTTTGTTAATTTCTGTTCTATTTCGAAAATGTGTGTACTTTCAGTGCTGTTTAAAAATAAAGCTTTGTTATGTTTTAGCATTTGCGCTGATATTCTGAAAGCTCGTATATTTTTTGTCGCTTTTCAGTTTTATTATGTTTTTGAGTTTCTGTTGATATTTTGTTTTACTTGTCGTCATTACATTTATCAGTTAGCATGTCATTATTTAACAGTTTGTTGGTTTAATTAATTTCATGCTATCTTTTGTTTGGTACCACGAATGAAAACTTAATATAATCACTCGCCACCCAGCTTGCTTAGCATTTTGGGTTTACTCATCTGTCATACTAGTAACATAATTTAATTCTGCATTAAACACGAGTTGCTACAACAATCAGTTAATGAATAGAGCATTAAACACTCTCCAACACCCCCAAGAAGCAATGTTGAAAACGAACAGACATATAAAACATCACATGAACAAAATATCAATAATAATATACATGTCAATGATCCCCCTTTTTCCTTTTTTTCCTGGGCTGGGAAACAAAGAAGACTGATAGGACAGTGACGCTGGGGGAAAAAAGTGCCTGTAATAACATTTATTAACCCCATAAAACAGCTTTCTGCCTCGCCTTGTTGTTGAGACAGTCGAATGAACATAACTGCATTTTGATTCATCGAGTCTTGACAAAGTATTATAGCATGAATGATTTCATATAATTCATGTTGTCCTCTGAATAGCATACGATTTATGTTATTATTTATTATTTCTTTCCATGCCTCTCCGAGTTGCAATTTTGTTTTCATGTTTTGTTTTAACGATCTTTTGCTTCTCAGATCAAAGATACTGCGAGAGTTTTTCTATAAGCGAATGCAAAGGTAGACTGAAAGCACTATTTTGTCATTTACTAATCCGCTAAGCTAACCCGCCCCCGCACCTCTTATAACAGACGCTATACCTCCTGGACGTATTCATTCTTCTCCTCTTTGAATTTCTGAATGCACACAACTGTGTACTGTACAAAGTGTCCATAACTCTGCGTGTCCCGCACAAAGTAAACATAATCTCATATCTGTTCCGTTCCTGTCATTGTCAATACACACTATATAATTACGCTAATATTAAAGAATCTGACCCCCGTCTCCCCTTTCCTTCTCCACCTTTCCGCATGATAAGCTATGGTAATGAAACCTTGCATGTATAGTAAGTCTTTTAGGACTTTTCCTCTTGCAAGAATGCAGAGTATCTACCATAAATATCTGCCCTTGAACATTGCCAGGATACGCTAAATTATAGTATTGCTTCATTAATTCAAACGAGCTCAGGTGAATTATTCCACATTTTGAATTCTCAATTGTATTTATAGTGAAAGAAATAATTTGTAATCTTTGGACTTTTTTTCCTTCCGGAAAAAAAGTTTGATACAAATGTCTAGAGGGACGCTTTTGCTACTGCCAGGCTACATATTAATTAATAGTTGTTACAGCTTCAAAATAATGCTGGCGGAGTGGTGATGGTGGCGATGCTACAAACTGCTTTGGGGTGAATTGATGAGTACTGCTATTTTGGTTTGACCTGTCAGTTGGGTGCAGGAAAAGAATAGCTCTTCCTCCTCCTTCTCCTCTTCCACCTCCTCCACGACCTCCTCCTCCTCCAAATAATAATAATAATGATAATAAAAAGTTATTATTATTATATTATTATTATTGTTATTATTATTATTATTATTATTATTATTATTATTACTATTATTTTTTAAAATTATTATCATCATTTTTATGTAATATAGTTTATTTAACTGTTGACTGTCACGTCATCAAAAGCATTTTTGTCTAATTTTTCACTTCCCTGCAATTTACCCTATTCTCCCCTTCTCGACCCCCCCCCCCCCTCAATTTCTTTTATTGCTCCCACCCCAACCATCTTTCCCCCAATATTCCTCTTTGTCTCCCGTGGAAACTAGTGAAACTCCTACTTGACAGGATAAGACCCATTGTTCTCTTTTTTTCCTGAATGATTATATCATTATTTCCCTCTCGGCACCGTGTACTGATGGTGTTTCGGTCTGTGCTTGAGGACGACCTGGACAGACAGAAACACGTAATTGCACTCAAGAAGTTGAGCTTAAGTTGGGACACTTGTTAAAAATTTAAATGTTAACATTGTATGAATGTATGCCATTGTTTTAATATGAAATGTCAGGTGGGTGTAGGAAGAAAATCGGTCATCATTTCTAAACTTACTTATTTACTTACTTACTTGGTTTGAGAATAGGCGTCATAGCAGGCGGCACAATGCCATAGCTGCACCTCCCTCCTCTCCAGGATCCATGAAAGGGTCTGCCTGCTGATCATGCCAGTTAACTGCTGGTTGGATATTGATATTCTTCTGGCTTTTCCACGCAGGTTACTGTCTCTCCCCGACCCTATAGAGACACCAGCTTCCCCTAGTCTAAAAACTACTATGCATTTCTAAACTACTATGAATTAATTGCAGTTTACTTTTTATTGGTTCTGTCACGGACGCATTTCTATAAACTCTATTTGCATTTTCCTAATTTGAGCAACTGGTTGATTTATTAAACTGTTTTTATACGGTTAATGTTAACCCTTTAAGGGCGACGTGGATATAATATTATGTCCGACCAGCAGCAGATCCAAGGCAATGAAGTAGTAGCACATTTCAAACCATCGTTCACAAATCAGAACAATAACAAGTAATAATAAATGACATTTATATAGCACTCAACCCCGATTAAAGTACTCAGGCTCTGGGCGCGTTACAATACAACACCGGTACAACAATAACATAAAACGTTGTGTTGTGACTAAAAGAAAATCTCTCCAAATATTCGCCCTATAAAGTTAAAAACAGAAACGACATTTGAATGATTCAAAGGATTTGAACTCTCATTCGTCATAGTAAGCATAATATTATTATTGCCGTTTAAAGTTTGATATGGAGAAATCAGAAGGGAAAAAAATCTGTATGAATAATAAAATTTTGCATATTTCTTTAATCAATCAACAAGTGCCAGATCTGCAACAGATATCGGCAATCATGGTTCCCCATTCATTTCTGTGCTCGGATTCTCCTAAACACCTATATTATTATTCTCCTGATCTGTCCCTCCACCTATCTCTTCAGGCTTTCCAAGTAAGTTGCTCTAGGCGTACCCCTTGCTCGTTTGATAGTCCTTTACAAACGTGGATGGGATACTTTAACAAAACAGAAAACTACAACACAAAAGAGCACTATGTCCTCATGCAACTATAAGCAAAATCTACTTGTATCTTGATCTTGACTTTGCTGTTAAACAAGTCTTTTACCCTCTGCACTATCTGACAACAGAATGCATAATTATCATGTTCTGCTACTAACGACCCTGCACCATAATAAATATACACACACACGATCCTCTTGTATTCTTTCTGCACACCCTTCTGTCAGGTTGTACCTGCTGTTCCTCTTTGCCAGAGTATAGCTTTGTGGACTTAATTAACATCTTACGTGGTCGGGTTTTACTTGAATTGACCAGAGATTCAGTATTGTAGCCTATAAGAACGTTCACTCCTCGGTGTGAGAGTTTTGTATTAACCCAGTAATTTTTAAGTAATAACCCAATAATAATTTTTAAGCCTAACTTTAAGTAAGAATGTTCTTTCTTTCATATTATTCGTTTTCTCGTATTATTTGTGAAAGGAAAAACATCTATAAAGTATTCATTAATACGTACCTCATATTCCTGTTGAGGGGTTTTATGAAATGACTTTGATTTTCAACGATTGGCTAAAACTTGTTTTGCCCTTTTTTCTGTTGGGATAGGTAGATTTTGTTTCGTGTTCATGAACTTTACATAAGTGGAAGGACAAATACAGGTTTTTTTGTAAAATTTCTTTCAGCCAATGCCATTTCTTGCTTCATTGCCATCTACATCAATTGCTTTTGCTCGTTTTTGAGATGAGTTTCCTTTTTTGTGTATGAAAAGCTGTGATAAAGGTAAAACATAATTTTCAAACTTGCAGGTACTTACAATGGTTGTTAAAGCAATGTCTGATATTATTATTATTATTATTATTATTATTATTATTATTATTATTATTATTATTATTATTATTATTATTACTCGTATTATTATTATCATAATTATGATACTTTTTGTGATTATTATTATCATTATCATTAGATCTATCATTAATGATATAGAAGAAGGCAGTGTTTGTACTGGCCCTAACTGATTTATATGAACATAATCTTTTATGGGATGGAGACTATACTAAAATCTCCATTAGATGCTCTTTAAATCAGGGCTGCCGATTCCTAAATAACCATTGGGTGTTGACAGAGGCAAATAGAGCCATAAATTCCACTCCCCACAGGCTGTGAACACTTCCGGAAGGCAGTGACGTCATCGTGTTTTAGGTACTCACCTTCTTCAGTTTCCCCGCATAGAACTAGAACATTTAGGCTTTGTGTTTACAAACCAAAGAGTGTGATTGGCTGTTAAATTTCAACGACTCAAGTAAGATCATTTAATAGGTTGGTTACTTCAACTGTGGCTGTCGAGGCTATTTCACGCTGAGAGAGAGAGAGAGAGAGAGAGAGAGAGAGAGAGAGAGAGAGAGAGAGAGAGAGAGACAGACAGACAGACAGACAGACAGACAGACAGACAGACAGACAGACAGACAGACAGACAGACAGACAGACAGACAGACAGACAGACAGACAGACAGACAGACAGACAGAGGCAGAGACAGGCAGAGAGAGAGGTAAAACATGGGGGGGGGGGGGAGTCAAGACACAGCCACAAGCACCGGTTAACCGGTTACAATAACTAATTAAGGTTTGGCTTATCGATCTGTTTGCCATTAGCATGACCAAGCAGTATCAAAGGGGTCTGGTATCGATGTATATCTATCGGGGTAAAAGTAAAATTAAGCCCTCCTCCCCAACTCATTCTTCTTTTGTCATGTAGGGCTGTTTCTTTTCTCCTTACGCACTGTGCTGTCTGTGTGGCAGTGTTCTGTACTTCCGGTCAAGCTCCTATTATTCTGATCTCTACCTCTTCTTTTCTGTGTTCTTACTTTCTTGTAAAGCTTTTAAAATTTCAGCACTAATGTGACCTATTTGCTTGGCAAGTGCTGTAAAACTTTTGCTAAAACTATTTTAAAATATTTCCATTGGAAATATTAGCTATAGCTTGTTCACTTTCGTCTGACCGCGGTTAAAACAAGGTAGAATGAATTTGCTCTGTTTAATCTTTCCAGATCTTTACATACGCTCGTACATGAGAAACATTTGGATGACCCACACAATCTGAAAGCCCATTCATAAAAGTCATGGCGAAACAAGGTTCCGCCACCATTTTTTAAACGCAAGCCTAAAGTGATAATAAGGGTTTTGCAGCGGACACTGAAAGCGTATTCTGTAGAGCACGTTTCATTTTGTCCCATCAACCAATCTTTCCGACCAGCATTAAATGCTCTCAAAGTGATTTCCATCAAAACAGGAACGGTGAGTTAACACAGTGCAGCATAAAGCTGTCGATTTTGTACTTTTCCTCAACTTTAACAGGGACGAAGCAAATAATAATATTGTTGTTGCCTCTTGACATAACATAAATAGATCTACATGTGCTGACATCGACTAGTTTGAGCTGGTCTCACCCTGCTTCGGTGGGGAAAGGAGACTTCTTGCTGTCAGATTTGTCTCTTTTTCGGTGACAAAGGTCTCACACTTGTTTCCTGTCTTGTTAGTGTTCTTTTGTCGCAGTTGACAGCCCACTGTTGTTCTGGTTTTTATTTTTTTTAAAAACATCACTTTTTTTTGGAGAAGGTTTTTAGTTAGTTTTTCTGAATGCTGTACTTTGTCAGATAGC